ATCATGCTAGTATGTAGGTTTTTCCTCGGCAGGTAACATCCCTTCGTGTTGGTCACCAGATGGGTCGATGGTCTTCCCATCCACAATTTTGTGATTGTAGTCATGTAGTCACTAACCATAGCCTAAGGTCAAAAACACCCCACTAACATACCTCCACCCCCTATATCTTGTTATATTTAAGTATTTTTCTATCTATTATTGATTTTTAATTTAAAGGGTGGGGGTAGTTCAGGTCTGTCTTTTTTTTGCACGATTAATACGAGTAATTTACTAATTATAGTGATTATTTTGAAAAGTACGATAATTTTACTCCATGTACGATAATTCTAGGCTACAGGTACGATAGTTTCCTCGCTTCAGGTTGTGAACACTGGGTAGAATCAGGTCCGCCGCACAGTTTGTACCAGTTTTTAATAATTTGTACCATGCAGCAATACATTACCCTCTTAATCGGAAAAATACCAAGATTTTTGTGTTGATAAAAATTTATGAAAAGCATTTTTTTGTAATTAATATAATAGAAGCTGAAATTAAAATGGTCTAACCCTAACGGTTCATTTTATGATAGGGACGAAATCTATACCAACATTACCAAATGCAGAAACAGGAATCGTCTGGTAGACTATAAATTTCGTCTATGTATTACATTATAAACCACACATTCTATTTACATTTAGCACTACATAATATTAATCATAAATGTCGTAAACAGAATGATGTAGAATCCTAAGTTATTATAACTTTAAAACATGGGTATGGAAAGAAAATTTATGGACCTAGCGACAATAAAAAATCTGAAAAATGATGGTATAATGTGTAATCTATGTGAGGAACTGAAATCTTTACAATTTTTTATTAATTCTACGATGGAACCTCGAAATCCTCTTGCTATTCTGAATTATGGTATCCAAATAAAGTAAGTTATGTAAGATCTTTGCAAATGTACTTGCTTAATTTTACGTTTGTTCCTAAGTAAATTAACACCTTTTGAATCGAAGTTATAATTTCGACTTTTACCCACGCGGAGGCCCTTAATAAAACAACTACTGAAATTTATTAACTTCCCAAGGGCGTTTTTGTAATGGATTCGAAAAATACAAATCTTTTTTTAACTTTTTTTGCAATTTGAAAGGTCACATTACGATTGCTAGTTGATTTGAAGATGAAGTATGAATAATAAAAACAACATCTAAAGAAAAATTCATAACATTCGTTCTTCAGTTTAAAGAAAAAGACTGGAAAAGGTAAATTTGAGTATTTCCATCATGAGTTATCATCCTAAATATCCAATATTTTTTAAGAAACTACAAATCTTTTATGAAGTAATTGTTTTACCTAAATATTTTCCTTTGTAGCTCGGCATTGGCCAAAAATGGCCCATGTCAACCCAGCTTCTTTCAAGGGAGAAAAGCAGTCGCGATTAATCTTCCATGATCTGATACCAAACAATTGTTAAACAAATGTGCAGGTCGGATAACAAACATACAAGACGAAGGTGGAACACACAAATACAGCCAAGTAGAAGAAGATGCATCAAAATTCGTATTTACATATATGTATTGTAAGATAGAAATAGAGAAACACCCACCGTAAGGTTTTTGGAAAGTCGATTAATCAAACGGAATGAAATTTTTCGAAATATATCGAGTTAGCGACTTGAATTTTCTGTTTTATACTATTACTGGTATAACACAAAATACTTCTAGAGCTTTTCATGATCTCCTATACTTAAACTGGACTTCTTCCATCGCGCTCAAACTATATCAAGATTTTTTTTGTACAGGCCAATGAACTAATCAACTAATAAATTTCCATCATCGCAATTGAACCTTATTTTATTAGAATCTAAACTTTTCCCCGCGGCTTCGTTCGCGGAAATTCATCATCATAAGTTCGTCCAAAGACTGGTTGGACACGTACCTCCACTCTTTCCTATTCTGAGCTAATCTTCGCATTTCCCTAAAACTAGAACAACCTACATCCTTAACTATTTGCGAACAGTAATCTAATCTAGGTCTACATCTACTCCTCTTAACCAGTTTCTGCCTTTAATATGTCTCTGACTAGACCTTCGTGCCTGAGAAGGTATGCTAGTACCCTATCTCGCTTACTTCTTATTGACTTCCATAAAGTCCTCTGTTCTCTCACTCTTTCTAATACCTCTTCGCGGAAACTAATAAATAATAAATCCGACCACAAATAAAAATTTTTTAAAAATGCCGGGACATATGTTTGATTAATTATATCAAAGAGCATTAACATCATGTTTCAAATAAATCCAACCACAAATAAAATATGTCTCGTACAAAAGTTGCAACCTCTCGTCACCCTCTCCTCAGAGGTTGATTTTTTTCTTAATTCTAAAGCAAGTGTTTCACTAATTATATTAAAGAGCATTAAGACCAAGTTTCAAGTAAATTTAACCACAAATAAAATATGTTCCGTATAAACGTTGCTACTACTTTTCACTCCCTTTCAGAGGTCGAATTTTCAAAATGACGAAATAGATGTTTCATTATTTATTCTAAGTTTCAAGTAAATCTAATCAATCTGTCCCGCACTACTTTTTCTAACTATTTTTACCCCCTTATAAGGATTAAATTTCGAAATATCCTTCTTTATTTCTCATATTTATCACCAAAGAAACCTCTGTGCAAAATTTAAGCTATATCAAAGAAAGAGCGGAGGTACGTGTCCAACCAGTCTTAGAACTGACGACCTTATGATGATGATGATGATCAAAGAAATATGAAAACAACATGTAACATAAAGATGTTTTTTATATAAGAATACCATCCAAATTTTCGTCTTTTTCGGTGGATTTTCCAAAAATTTTTCTTCATACAAACCTTGTCCTTGCAATTACGAGCACAACAAATAAGAAATCAGCCAAATCGGTCGAGCCCTTCTCACGCGATGCTCCGTCAATTAATTTATTTATAGCAATAGAGAAAACAATAGAAAAAGGAAAGGGTGCGTACATAGGTTTTGTAGATTTAGAGAAAGCTTTTGACAATGTTAAATGGGACAAGATGTTAAATATACTTAAAAATGTAGGGATGAGTTACAAAGATAGAAGAGTGATACTTAGTTTGTATAAAGAGCAACAGGCAGTTATAGAGCTGGG